TTGAAATCATGGCATAGTACAGGTATACAGTGGGTACGGAAAGTATTCAGACCCCCTTCAATTTTTCACTCTTTGTTATATTGCAGCCATTTGCTAAAAATTGAAGGGGGTCTGAATACTTTCCGTACCCACTGTATAATGATTTGCATCTATTTGATTTTATTTAAATAAACATTTTCAAAATGCATTTATTTTCATTGCTTAAAATATAATTCATTCTGTCTGGATTGTATAAATGTTTGATGATTGTATAGATGTAAATAGATGTTTTTAATTCTTAAAGTGTGTTTTTGTCATTTCTGTCTCTCTGTAGCAAGAGTTGATCGACAGCTTAAGTAAGAAGCTTCTCGTGCTTCGAGAGGCTCGTGAAAGCCTGCAGGAGGATGTGCAGGACAATAACGTTCTGGGAGAGGAAGTGGAAGCCACTGTACAGACCGTCTGCAAACCCAATGAGCTGGAGAAATTTCGCATGTTCGTGGGTGACCTGGACAAAGTGGTCAGTCTGTTGCTGTCTCTGTCCGGCCGACTGGCCCGAGTGGAAAATGCCCTGAACAACCTGGAGGAGGGAACGTTAGCGGACGAGAAGGTATAAATGAGATGCATGTGAAATAATTTTCTTTTGCTGCACTATTCATTCCTTCATTTTAGTGAGTCGTTGCCAGATAGTACTAATTTGTTCCCTCGTTTTATTAAATCATGGCAACCTTTTACTAATTTGTTCCCGTATTTTTAGCAAATTGTTTCCACATAGTACTAATTCGCTCTCTCGTTTTAGCAAATCTTGGCAACATTTTACTAATTTGTTCCCATATTTTAGCAAATTGTAGCCATGCAATACTAATTCGTTCCTTTGTTTTAGTAAATCGTGGCCACATTGTGCTAATTCGTGTTTTCGTTTTAGTAAATTGTTGCTACGTTTTAATAATTCGGTCCCTCGTTTTTAACAAATCGTAGCCATGTTGTAATAATTTGTTCACTCGTTTTATTAAATTGTGGCCACGTTGTACTATTCGTTCCTTCGTTTTTAACAAATCGTAGCCATGTTGTACTAATTTGTTCCCTCGTTTTATTAAATTGTGGCCACGTTGTACTATTCGTTCCTTCGTTTTTAACAAATCGTAGCCATGTTGTACTAATTTGTTCCCTCGTTTTAGTAAATTGTGGCCACGTTGTACAATTCGTTCCTTTGTTTTTAACAAATCGTAGCCATGTTATATTCATTTGTTCCCTTGTTTTAGTAAACAGTGGCCACGTTGTACTATTCGTTCCTTCGTTTTCAGCAAATCGTAGCCATGTTGTACTAATTTGTTCCCTCGTTTTAGTAAATAGTGGCCACGTTGTACTATTCATTTCTTCGTTTTTAGCAAATCGTAGCCATGTTGTACTAATTTGTTCCCTCGTTTTAGTAAATAGTGGCCACGTTGTACTATTCGTTCCTTCGTTTTTAACAAATCGTAGCCATGTTATACTAATTTGTTCCCTCGTTTTAGTAAATAGTGGCCACGTTGTACTATTCGTTCCTTCGTTTTTAACAAATCGTAGCCATGTTATACTAATTTGTTCCCTCGTTTTAGTAAATAGTGGCCACGTTGTACTATTCGTTCCTTCGTTTTTAACAAATCGTAGCCATGTTATACTAATTTGTTCCCTCGTTTTAGTAAATAGTGGCCACGTTGTACTATTCGTTCCTTCATTTTTAGCAAATCGTAGCCATGTTATACTCATTTGTTCCCTCGTTTTAGTAAATAGTGGCCAAGTTGTACTATTCATTCCTTCGTTTTTAGCAAATCGTAGCCATGTTGTACTAATTTGTTCCCTCGTTTTAGTAAATAGTGGCCACGTTGTACTATTCGTTCCTTCGTTTTTAGCAAATCGTAGCCATGTTGTACTAATTTGTTCCCTCGTTTTAGTAAATAGTGGCCACGTTGTACTATTCGTTCCTTCGTTTTTAGCAAATCGTAGCCATGTTGTACTAATTTGTTCCCTCGTTTTAGTAAATAGTGGCCACGTTGTACTATTCGTTCCTTCGTTTTTAGCAAATCGTAGCCATGTTGTACTAATTTGTTCCCTCGTTTTAGTAAATAGTGGCCACGTTGTACTATTCGTTCCTTCGTTTTTAGCAAATCGTAGCCATGTTGTACTAATTTGTTCCCTCGTTTTAGTAAATAGTGGCCACGTTGTACTATTCGTTCCTTCGTTTTTAGCAAATCGTACTGGACCAGAGACTGCTGTACTGAACCATACTGATCCATAGCGCACTATACTGAACTCTGGACTGGTCTAGACTGGACTGGACTACGTTAAGTTAACTCTTGTTGGGAACTAGACTCTAAGCAGACGTATTTCATATTTGCTTGTGTGCACTGAATAGATTTATTACTATCAACACAAAATCATTCTTATATCAGTTCTGAGCTTTTCATTGATTCCAGTTTTCTTTAATATAGCATGTTAGTGAATTCATGCTTGAATCGGCTCACGTTTTCAGGGATGTGCTGTATAAAACGTTCTCCTGTTTTTTTTAAAGGATCTTTAGAAGTTCTTTCTACCTGTATGTGCGTTTAACTAATTTGTTTTGCGGCTGAAAGCTAACAGTGCTATTAACTGAAAGTTAGATCTGCTTATTCTTAACTAGATCCACACTGAAAAGCTGTTTTACTCATTTCATGTGAATGAAAGGGAGGTTTAGAATATCTCTACTCTTATCTAAAATATGAACCTGTGAACCAGAAAAATCATTTGTGATATACTGTTCATAAACACGCTTGCAGTGCACTTCTGCTGCAATAAATTGGAATAAAAATATATGTGGCAACTTTTGTTGTAGCTCTTCATAGTTATGGATGGGTTACAATTAATTTGTCTGTCTGATATCACACTTGCTGTAAGGAAGTGATTCATAAATATTTAGCTGTAAACAAGAATATTACGTTATATAATTAAGCGTCACCCATGATTTTATGATCTTTATGAGTCACTGTATTTTCCAATATGACGCGACCGATCTCAGATTCCTCATTGTTTGATTTTATGATGTTGACCGTGATCATGAGCCATGGTCAATCATTCACAGAAACATATTCACGAGCTTATTTACAGAAGATTTCTAAACAGCAGGAAGTTTCAGACGGTTTCCAGTCCAGCGCTGAAGATGAAGGAAACGCTGAGAGAAGATTCACTTTTACATCGAGAGAAACTCACGGATCAGTCGAGCATGTGCTGATATGGTAATATGATTCAAATTTTTAATTATAATTTATTTGTAACAATTATATTTGATGCATACTGATTGGAAATATATTTTAAGACGACCACAAACGTCTTGAGAAACGAATTACAATGTTTGAAAGTCAGTTTTATATAAAGCCAGTTTGCGTTTCATCCAGAGCTGTAAATGTAAAATGCAAAACAGTGAAGTATCACACGTCTCATTATAATATACGACAGGAAGCAGTCTGTTATGTAATGGGAATATGCAAATAAGAAGCTTATGCTTCAGTAAAATCATCATATACTTATATATATATATATATATATATATACTTATACTACCATTCAGTTTGGGATCAGTAAGATTTGTTTGGAAGAAAATTAGTACTTTTACTTTTATTATATATATAATATTTTTTATTATATTCAATTATATTTTATATACATATATATACATTTTAAAATCAAATTCACTTATATATACAATGGGGAAAAAAGATTTAAATCTACATATAAATTAAAAATGAAGATGTGCTGTAATGTTTTTCCCCTTCTTTTATGGTGGGCCAAATCAAAGGTCATCAAGGGCCCTGGTTTGGACGTCACTAATTTTAAAAGAACTGCCAAAATATTCTGATGATTAAACAGGTGAAAAAAATAATAGAAACTGTGACCTAAATATATATAGGTGACAGCACCTCAAATATACACTTTCTTCATCTATGCACATCTAATTAAATTAATGTAAAATAAGGGTGATGCACTGGTTATTTAGTCTCTATGATATTTTGGCACAAACGTCCATGGTAACCATGACCTTTAGGTGAAGTATTACATTTCTGTTTGGCTTCTGAAACATGAGCATCAGGAAGATGGTGATCTAAACTAAATCTCTCTCTGTCTCGTTCTCTCAGAGGGATGTCTGAGAGCTTTGTTTGCCAGGTTTCTTGGAGACGGCATTGGTTAGTTAAACCCACAACAAGCAATTAACTCCATAAAGACCTGCAGTCACGTTCAGACGCTTCAGCGAGACGTTCGAGGCTCTTCAGGATGGACGTTTTTGAGTGTGCTGTAAATATAAGTGTATGTGTTTTATAGGGGTTGGGTTTGCATATTTTATCATTTATTTTATTGTTTGCTTTTATTATATTTTTTATTATTATTTATTGTTGTTATTTATTTTATATTGTCTGATTTTAAGTATTTTATTTATAATTTGATTATCTCATTACTTTTTTTTTGTATTTGTATTTAATTTTATTATTGTTTATTTTTTAATCTTTTTAATTTATTTGTTTGCATATTTTTATTTATATTATTTATTTAATTACTTTTTTTTATTTTTGATCATTTTTGTTTTATTTCTTTTATTTTTATAGTTTTTTATTTTATTTTTTATCTTTTTTTATTTTATTTTTATTTATTTTACTTTTTTTTTGTATTTGTATTTAATTTTATTATTGTTTATTTTTTTTATCTACTTTTAATTTATTTGTTTGCATATTTTTATTTATATAATTTATTTAATTACTTATTATTTTATTTTTTATTTTTGATCATTTTTGTTTTATTATTTATTTTATTTTTATATATTTTTATTTTATTTTTATTTATTTTATTTTTATAAATTTGTATTCGTTTGCTTATTTGTAATTTTTATTTGATTTATCATTTATTTTATTTTATAATTTTGTAAATGTTATTTTTACTGTATTTTTATTAGTTTTTTCTTTTTTGATTATTGTTTAGATCAATGTTTTCCAGGAAACTGCGGTCTGAGACCAGACGTCATGCCTTACCTCGTCCACACGGCTCACGCGCAGCTCGTGGCTCTGTGGCTCGGGACGGTGGGCTGGACGCTCGTGATCGTGACCGTCGGGCTGGTGGAGTGGAGGGTTTGGGAAGTGTCCGATCTGTCGTTCATCACCTCCGGACTGGCATGGGTTGGTATTTGGAGAGTGTGTTTTTATAGCCACGCTCTGATTTTATCTGACAATCAGATCATGTTCTGTCAGCGGATCCGTTTGTCGGAGTCGTTCACGCCACCGGAAATCGCGGCGGCGCAGGTGCTGATGCTCGTGGCTCTGTTTCTGGGCCTCGCAGGAAACGCCAGCGTCATTTACGGCCTCAGGAACGTTTACTTCGGATTAAACAAGATCAGATCAGCATTTGCTTCTGGTGGGGTTTTGCTCATTCTTACCGGAGCTTCTTCGCTCGTTCCTGTGTGCTGGAATCTCCGTTCTGTTGTGAACAATCAGACTATATCGTTCCCGGCGGAGTTTCGCATGCCATCCGCTCCGGTGAACCAGTCCATCGGACCCGGTATCATCATTGGGAAACGCCAGCGTCATTTACGGCCTCAGGAACGTTTACTTCGGATTAAACAAGATCAGATCAGCATTTGCTTCTGGTGGGGTTTTGCTCATTCTTACCGGAGCTTCTTCGCTCGTTCCTGTGTGCTGGAATCTCCGTTCTGTTGTGAACAATCAGACTATATCGTTCCCGGCGGAGTTTCGCATGCCATCCGCTCCGGTGAACCAGTCCATCGGACCCGGCATCATCGTGGGGATTTTTGCATCAGTCCTGCTGGTCTTTAGCGGGCTGGTCTTTCTGTCCTACAGGGCCCCGGTCATGTTGGAGCCCAAAGTGAGGCTGTCCTGGCCCGGAGAAGGTCCCTCGGGGACCCATGTGAACCATCAGGGAATTGACAATCCAGCTTTCCAAAGTTGAGACGCGTGAGACTGTTTTCAGGACGGATGTGAGTGTGTAATTAGGATGCTGTGTTCTCTTCGGGCCCCTGGAGGCCCTTCGTGTAACATTACCGTAACCATTACGTAACAATTAAAAATAATAATTACAATAATTGTATAAAGTATTATTAATACACTGGGAAGTAACTGATTAATCTGGATTACGTATTCAGATTCCCAAAACTTTTTTGTAGATTACATATTATTTACACAATGACAGTAAATTATTCATTATGTATTAATTTGCTCTAATTCTTTCTTTTTTTCCTCTTAACTTTCTAAAAAAATTGTACCGCTTATATATGTGACCCTGGACCACAAAACCAGTCATAAGGGTCAATTTTGTCAAAATTGAGGTTTATGCATCATCTGAAAGCTGAATAAATACGCTTTCCATTGATGTATGGTTTGTTAGGATCTGACAATATTTGGCTGAGATACAACTATTTGAAAATCTGGAATCTGAGAGTGCAAAAAAAATAAAAATATTGAGAAAATCATCTTTAAAGTTGTTCAGATGAAGTTCTTAGCCATGCATATTACTAATCAAAGATTAAGTTTTGATATATTTACGGTAGGACATTTACAAAATATCTTCATGGAACATGATCTTTACTTAATATCCTAATGATTTTTGGCATAAAAGAAAGATCAATAATTTTGACCCATACAATGTATTGTTGGCTATTGCTACAAATATACCCCAGCGACTTAAGACTGCTTTTGTGGTCCAGGGTCACATATGTTCGGAAAGTCTTCCAGTTTTATGAAACTGCACACACCTGCCACTAGTCAGGTGACTAATTACACAGAAAATGGAGAGGCCACACAATTGGTTTAATTTGATATTTTTATGATTTAATTATTAGCTCTTCAGCACCTTACAAACCCTCTGCAGACTCCGATTTGATCAAGTTGATAAAGAATGGAAAATGTTTCCTTATGAGTTATATCAAATGTAATGTAAAAGTAATCAAAAAGTATTCACAATACATTACCTTATATGTGTAATCCAATAGATTGTTACCAACTACGCTTTCCGTTATGTAATTTGTAATCGGTAATTAATCAATAATGTACAAACAATACTGTGATAATTTGGAAAATATTTTGCACCTGACATTGTAGTAACTTTAGCGAAATTTAAGTTGAATTTCGGGCATGCAAAAAAGTAAATCGTCTATTATCAATAGTTGTAGATGTATTTAAGCCTCGCTCAAGCAGAAGTCACTTTCAAAACAAGCAGCTTTAATTTTATTCAGTGTGGCGAATTCGCGTGAACAACTTGAATACGATCGGAGTACGAAGCTCTCGATTACGCAGATTTCTATTTGAATGACTGTACGTATTTTGCCTGTGAAATTTCGCCGAGCAGCAGTAAAGGTGGCACCGGGTCAAAATTGCATTGTCGAGAGCAGCGGGCCCAAGCCTTTATGGGGCCCCAGGCAGAAGTTTATTTGGGGGCCCCTCAGTGCCGCCAATTATTATTTGTTTTTGTTTTTTTTACCCTTCTTGGGATTTTAATTGTAACAGTGTGTTAATCTGTTAATCTGCATTTATGCCTTGGGCCAGCTCAGGGGTGCGTTTCCCGTACAACGACGTAACTCGCTGATTAACCACCATAGTGCGATGCATTGTTGTGGAAACTAACTATAGCCAGTCACGAACACGGTCGCATTTCTGTCGCTTGAACCACATTAGTTCAACAATTTAGGGCCGTTGTTAATGACGTCACACGCATGTGGTGGAGTAATAACTTCTGCTAATTTATTCGAGATCTCTGAGATGCTGCTGTGTTCAACATGGCACATGATGACTAAGTTACTATGTTTTGTTCCCTGTCGTTTTGCTTTATTTGATGTTTGATTCATCGCGGGGTTCCCTGCAGTATTTATGCACATGCGCACTCTTCAAAAACGAGGACGCGCTAAAATGTATCGATTATAATGTATATATATTTAAATAGAATGGAAGATATAGATTGCAGTGCATGTTAGCTTGCTTTGTGCCCAAAAGCATAATTTATTTAAGTCCATATGTCTTACTAACAAGAAACAGTGCTTCTAACCACAAGTGGAGAGCTGTAGTTATACCACGTAAGTTTGCGACGCTGTTTGCGAATGTTCGTTTGATCTATGGTTTCGGGAAACACCGAATCGTTGAACAATGTTGGTAACGACGGAACTTGCGACCATAGTTGGCTAACAATGCTTTTGGGAAACACACCCCTGGTCGAGGGAAATAAAACAGATAAGTCTCATCTGTGTATAAGTCACATTTTTTACACGCAGAAATAATTTAAAATACTGGTAAATAAAACTAAATGTTTACAAACGTTATAAACGCTATAAACATATTTTACAATCAACCAAGTTGATTATACTTAAAATTTTAATGCAGCAACTGAACCTATGTTTTTAAGTTGAAATAGGTGGATTTATATATATATATATATATATATATCACCTGTTTACATTCTAATTTAACTGTATTTAAAAAAATTATTTTGTTCTATTTTCCCTCCTGTTTTTTTTCTTGCTTTTTTGTTATTTGCCGTTGTTTTTGTGCTTTTATCTTCTCTCTAGGGTTTTTTTTTTCGGTGTGTGTGTAATTTATTTGAATTGTTAAAAGTGTGTCATTGTTCACAGCACTGTTGCTGTATACTGAAACATGCTGTTATCAGACACCGACGAAATTAAAGCACTGAAAATTTGAATTTCACATAGTTATTATAAAAATATACTTTAGACATTCATGCATTTGACTGACACTTTTATCCAAAGTGACTTTGCATTATACATTTTGATAAGTTCATGGTTTCACTGGGAATCGAATATCATTGCTAGCAGCATGCTCTGTTTGATATTGATATATATTTTAGGTATATAGGTATAAATAGGCATATATTTTTAAAATTACGTTTAGAAGTTTGATACACTTGATGTTATTGAACATGTGAGGAAGTAAAAAGTATGAGCAGTTTGAGATCAGTCTGTTATCGGATTATAAACCTACAGTCCGGAGCAGAATTGACTGTAGAAAACGCTTCATTACTGAGGAAGAAGATAAAGGCTCGGACTGTAATCCTGATGATTAAGTCAATGAAGGAATTAAAGGGATTATTTCCTTTATCTTTTTCTGCTTGATCCTGCGAGGACAGTGCAATCACGGGTAATAAGTTTTTTTTTTTTAGCTTTATTAAACAGTGATTGGGTAAGAAGCTTCACATTGATATAATACTTTTTTTTTCTATCAAGGTTTTTTGCACTAAGAGTATGTACTTCATTAGTGATAAGCAAGTACACACTATTGACAGTATGCTACTATTTGGACGTATACTATGAATTGAGTTTTAATGGCCCAGGCCTCTATTAATCATCGTTTGCATGTACACTACTGATCAAAAGTTTGCAATAATTACGATTTTTTTAATGTTTTTGAAAGAAGTCTGTTCTGCTCTCCAAGGCTGAATTTATTTTGAGTTTATTACTGATTTTATTGCATTTTACAAAATGTCCAAAATTGGGGTTGTAATTGATGAAACTTGAGTAAACCAGCATACTGATTTCTGAAGATCATGTGACACTGAAGACTGGAGTAATGATGCTGAAAATACAGCTGCGCATCACAGAAATAAATTGCATTTTAATATATATTGCAATCAAAAACACTTCATTTAAATGGTAATAATATTTCACAATTTTGACTGTATTTTTTGATCAAATAAATGCAGTCTTGATGAGCAGAAGAAAAAATCTTTCCAACTCCAAACTTTTGACTGCTAGTGTAACTATTCATAACCTCAGACTTCATTCTTCGAAAAAGTGAAAGAAAATGGTCACAAACTGCTTTAGTTGTGCAAGGTATCGTGGGTAATTTTAGCCCATAAAACCATGCACAGATGCACACTATGAAATCTTAAAGTACTATGGGATGCACTAATTGTACTTTCACATAATCATCACTTGTTTGGGAAGGATAGGGTGCAAATTGGCATCCCAAGACCTTAATTAGCTTGTTTCGGTGTGTTTTATTACTGTGGTGGATCCCCTGACACCTGATTAAACATCCTTGAGTCAGGAAACGGTCATGCAGCAGGAAGTGGACTGAACTTGCGTCATTGAGTCTCTGGCTTCGGTCCACGGCTGTAGGTGTGGATCTCTCATCTCGACCCTCCCGAGACCCGGCTCATGTGAACCGGAGCGGAGGATGGCAGTGGCAGGGCACGTGAAACGCTCTCCAGACTATCACTGCACTAATTGTTAAGCTGGAAGTGCAGTCTGTGCCAAAGCAGTTCTCTCTGAGCTCCACATTGTGCCATGACTGACAGCAGCAGAACAAAAGGCCTCTCTTACGCGCTAAAGCAGCACCAAATACAAGCTCAGCAAACACAGGTTTATGTTCAGTGTTTCCACCACAGGATAAAAATATTAAAAGCTTTTTTTTTGCAATTTTGGGTTTGCATTCTTGTTTTGTTTTTTTTCTCTCACGGAATAAAAATATAAAAGTCAATTGCAAGTTTAGGCTATATCTCACAATTTTGACTTTTTGTTTCCAGAATAAAAAAATAAAATTGTAATTGCAACTTTTTATCTCTCAGTTCTGACTTTCTTTGCAAATGCAAGTTTATTTCTAAAAATGTACACTTCTGTTTCTCAGAATTGTGAGTTTATATCTTGCAATTACAAGTTAACATCTCGCAATTCTGAGAAAAAAAGATTGTGAGATAACTTTTTTTTTATTCTGTGGCAGATACAGGCTTTCATAGTTGCTTTCATAGTTCAGAAACCAAATAATAATCCTGAGTTTATATCTTGCAATTTTGATTTCCCTCCCCCTCAGAATCCTGAGTTTATATATTGCAATTGCAAGTTAACGTCTCACAATTGCAAGATAAATTATGAGTTTATATCTCACAATTCTGAGTTCATAACTCACAATTCTCAACTTTTTTCCCCTGTGCAATTCTGAGGAATTCTTCTCAGAATTGTGGGATATTTCTAAATAATGAGAAAAATTGCAATTACCTTTTTTTTTTAATTGCATGGCAGAAACGGGCTTCCATTCAGAAATTAAATAATACTGTGATTTAAGCAGGTTAATATATTTAGCATCAAATAAATTTGTTTCAACTTCATACATTTTAACTAACTGAATATTGCTTGTTCCACAGATAAAGTCATATTTTATACTTTTTTAACTGAATAATTTTTTCACAATGAATTGATTTATGTTGATTCTATAAGCAATTTGAATAAATGCACTTTGAAAATTAGATTAATTAACTAGATGCATATACTTGCATAAACTCTGCCATGATTTTTTAGTGCAGAAATCTGACCTGTTTCATTAATGCATGACTGACAAATATGCATCACATTATGTTTATTTGTTTATGTTCAAACTTTACAATCCAAATGAATGGAAACTGTATACGCAGTTCAAACACATAAATCTCAAATTTAGGCATAAATATTTTTCGCAATGGTAATTCTTTAATCTGACTTGAGGGAAGAGTTTCATCCATATGGCTGATTATCATAAAGGAAGTGGGCAGGAAGCTGTCGGCACCATGCGCTCCTGATAATGAACAAACCTTTGTTTGTAAAGATGGGAAGATTAGCATACAAAGTTATAATAAGTCCATTGTGGAAAGCCAACAAAGAGAACTTTGATTTGACAGCATGAACCCAGGCCGGGCCGATGGACACAGACACTGAGCGGTTAAAACACTTCAGACGAGAGGCTGAGGGGATTTAGAAACTCATGATCAAAGACACATTCCTCATGAAGAACACTGTGCTGTTACGGGCTCCGATCCATCAGGACACTTCAGAGATCACACACTTTTCAAAGTCAATGGATATCTCTTATACTGTATAATGATTGTTTTATGTAATGCAGATAACTAAAAGTTACACTTCCACCAAAGAACATGTATTACACATTGTTTCTTTGAAGTTATACTGTAAATTAAAATTAACAGGCACATCCAACAAGTATTTAGATGAATGTGAAATTAAATGACTGCACATTTCATCATATTTTAGATCTGTTTGTCTCTGTAAATCAGGACTTCAAACAGTTTCAGCTCTTGCTTTTCAGCAGCACAGTTCATAATATGTACTTTTTTAATATAATGTTAATATATGCAAGGGAGTTGAAAAGTCTGAGGAATGCACTGAAAATGTATTTAAACTTGGAATTGAAGTTTTCAGAGTTTGAAACAAACATTATGTAAAATTAAGAAGAAAAAAAAAAGGTTTTCCACTGTTTCTAAGTCACTAAATGTAAATAAATTTGTAGCTACTACATGAAAAATAGCAAAAGGAAATCTGATTAAAAAAATATTAGATTTTTTAATTTTAAAAAATGCTAAATAAAGCATTTCACCAGTGGTCTTAGACGAAGCATTTTTCTAAATATTATTTCTTAATTTATGATCCTCACAATCAATATTGCCATTAATACGCGTGCTTTAAACTAAGAAATTAAAGCAAATTGCACAGATTAGAATAAAAAGGAAACATATTTGAGTGAAAACTGATATTTTTTAGACATTTAGTGAGCTCAAAACTTAAGAGTTTCAGCTTTTGCTTTTTGGCAGCACAGCTTTACACACACACACACACGCACACACACACATATATATATATATATATATATATATATATGTATAATGTCAGAATATGCAAAGGAGTTTAAAAGTCTGAGAGGAACACATTGAAAATTTAATAAAAAATAAATAAAATTTGATAAAACTTTCAGATTTAAAAAAAAATGATGTAACATCAAAGTTGTATATAAAATGAATAATAATGAAAGATTTTCCACAGTTTCAAAGCCACTAATCAAATGTAAACAAATGTGTCAGAAAAATGCTAAGTTCAATGCAAAAAAAGCATTTTCTCAGACCTTTGAAAACCACTAAAACTAGTTTATTAAGCATTTAAAGTATTGTTTTCAATTTAATGTTTTTAACTATAGAAAATAAAAGCTAATTGCACAAACCTGAATAAATATGAAAACATATGTGACCCTGGAGCACAAAAGCAGTCTTAAGTCGCTAGGGTATATTTGTAGCAATAGCCAACAATACATTGTATGGGTCACAATGATACATTTTTCGTTTACGCCAAAAATCATTAGGATATTAAGTAAAGATCGTGTTCCATGAAGATATTTTGTAAATGTCCTACTGTAAATATATCAAAACTTAATTTTTGATTAGTAATATGCATTGCTAAGAACTTAATTTGAACAACTTTAAAGATGATTTTCTCAATATTTAGATTTTTTTGCACCCTCAGATTCCAGATTTTCAAATAGTTGTATCTCAGCCAAATATTGTCCGATCCTAACAAACCATACATCAATGGAAAGCTTATTTATTCAGCTTTCAGATGATATATAAATATCAATTTTGAAAAATTGACACTTAAGACTGGTTATGTGGTCCAGGTTCACATATTTTTGTGAAAACTGAAACTTGTTGACATTTCACGAGCACCAAAATCTAAAAAAAAAAAAATCTGAAAAATCACCTGCATCTCTTCATACATCACATGAGAGAGATGAACATTCAGCTGATTTATTGACTGATCATCAACTTTGGTACAACTTTTGGACATTTCAGAGAACGCAAGGTAAAATAATAACATCTTTCTCTCATTCAATCACTCTCTGTTTAAATATAAAAACACACTTGCATCTGGTTTTCCAGTAACATTTGGATAATTAGCATAAAATTGTCTCTCATAAATGACCTCGTAGTCATAAAAGTTGCACTTTCTCGGAAAGTGCATAATTTTCACAATTAGTAAACTGAAGTGTGTGTTTTCATTAGAATCACATTCACGTGCAGATTTGGTTTGAGCTTATAAAATGATTCACAAAATTGATTTGTAATCAAAATGAAGTCTAAACAGCAGCATTATATTTACAGTCTTTGAATATATCTGATAATTTCAGTGCAAAACGCAAAACATTAGTAGAAGCAAAACTGTGTTTATCAATAATCTCACACATATTCTGTCCTCCTGCGTGGAGATTGCTCTGGACGAGCTCTGTTTAGCACTATAGATTGGTGAAGCGAAAATGTTTCGTCTTGCAAAAACAAGCACGAAGTGACCAACAAGAAACCAGCCGCCAAATGCAACCCCCCCGCCGTCCAGCCGAAGAAAAGCGCATCTCCGAACTCCCAGCGAGGAACCACGCTTGGCACGCTCTCGTCGAAGAACCGCAGGACCGTCAGATGCGCCACGTACGAAACTGGCACGAGACCGAGGACGCCCGTGACGACGCTGAAGATCCCGCCGAGCATCTTCAAGGTCCTTTTGGCTTCAAAGCTCTCCGTGCGTCTGCAGCTGTTCACCAGGTAGATGCCGGGGATGGCGAATAACAGACCGATTAAACCCGTCCCCAGCGTGGCGCACATCAGGATTCGGGCCAGCCGGATGTCCGACGGGAGACCCAGCAGACTGTCGTATGGCCGGCACTCGGTCACCCCGAGATCCTGAACCACGCAGGTTTCCCACAGTCCCAGCTGGAAGCTCTCGGTGGGCAGGAGCTCGGTGGAGAGCGTGAGCCACCGCGGCATCATGAGGGTGACCAGCGAACACAAGCAGGCGGTCAGCGAGAAAAACACACCTAGCAGCTCCAGAGTCCATAATCCAGAGTCCATGACCACAGCTCTCCTCCTCCTCCTCCTCTCGCTCTACTGTTCAGTACAGAGCTGCTGACAACAGCATTAGTGTCTGTACGTCATCTTTGGACGGGTGGGCAGAAGCTCTGATCTCTCTCAGCACAGAGACGCAAACAACAGCTGCATTCACTCACGCCGAACGCTCGCAAACACACACACTCGTTTATGGCGCGTCCGCCGATTTTGGCACGAAATACGCGCCATACTCGAGCGTTCGATTCACGGCACACGCTCGCTTTCCTAATTCACGGTCCTGCTTGTATTGTTGGGGAAAAGTGTTTGAAGTGTTTGAAAGGGAAAATTCCAGATCTGTTTGTCTCTGTTAAATCTGGACTTAAAACAATCTCAGCTCTCGCTTTTCAGCAGCACAGTGCATAATATGTGATTTGATGAGAGGAACACAAAGCTATTTAAACCAGGAAATAAAACGTTATGATGTAAAATGTAGAAAAATGATTCGCCACTGTTTCTAAGTCAACATCAAATGTAAACAGATTTGTAATAGGCTACATGAAAAAAAAACATTAAAATTGAAAAATGATCAATTTAGTGCAGAAAAGCATTTTAACTATTGTATCAGACATTTGAACCCCACTGAATGAAAATCTAGTTTAACACACATGCAACATTGTCATATATATGCATACATATATATATATATATATTATACATATTTTTTTTAAACATAAACTTTATGATCTAAAATGAAGAAAACCATTGCGTCGCAAAATGATTCACTGTTTCGAAGCGCTCCAATCGGATCGCGAATCATGAATCATTTGATTCAGATCGGGACTTCGGAGCGGATTCGCGAATCTTTTTTTTTTCTGATTTCTTCTTTTAGTAAACAGAAAACATAAAACTATTAATGCAGTAACGTCATAAAAAAACGAAACAAATGAGAAAGAAAGAAAGAAAGTATAAATACAAAAAAAGAAAATAAACCGTGGTTTTACTATAGTAAAAGTGTAGTGTTTTTTGTATAACCACAGTTTTACTACAAATTGTGAGATTTGGATGAACTCCTGAATCTGTTGCATGATCTCTTTAAACTATAGTTTCCAAAGTTAGACATCACTTGTTATGATTTTCAAGGCTGTAGAGTTTAGTAGAGACGCTATGACATGTTCCTACAAATATCAGCCACTGCTAAATTATCTCTAGCAATAATTTTGATCAAACAATTAAATGTCATTTGTCTGTCGTTATGTCCCCATCAAGCGCCTGTTTGCGCTGACGTTCACGCACGCACGCACGCACTCACGCACCGTGACGTCATCACGGCACGTCCTGCCGCATCGGTTTAATCTGATGTTATGATGGATAAACACTACAAATCATCATTTAATCTTTAATTTATTACACAAACAGCGTTATGGCGGAGGCAGAGGGTGAGATTCAGCACACACGAGTGTGTTCGTTTGGTCACAATCATCGTGCACCTGCTCTATATGTTATCATGGGTTCATTCCTTAATGTCTTGAATGTGTTTCGGTTTATTTCCACATGTGTGTTTTATCATGTTTGTGCAGCACAGACAGAAAGAAGTACAGGTGTGAAATCTGATCTGAGTGATGTTTCTGTAAGGCCTCTGCGTGCGTCCGTTTCTGTTGTGTGTTTTTCTTATATTATTGTGATGAATAAATACAGCTAAACACCTAATACACTATATATTGCAATTAAAAGATGGACTATGGTACTACTATGTTTTTGAACATGTAACATTGTATCATTCAGTATATTTATTTTATAATATATTTATTATATACATATACAGTATACTGTATATAGATAGATTTACATTTTGTTTAAAAGTAATTTCAAGCATGTAAATTGAAGTGTTTATGTTAAATGATTTTAAGCTGTATAGAAAATGTGTAATAGAAAATGTCAGCGTGTGACAGTAAATCTTGCAGTACTACAGTATTTTATAAGAATATGGATTTCAGCAGCTGCATGATATTGCAATATACTCTAATATTCACTGTGTTGCACACTGACAGACACGTTATTATTTTACAGCTTAAAAACTATTTAAATGAACGCTTTTGCTTACATGCTTGAAATTAGTTAAAAATTAATAAATTGAAAAAATATTAAAAATAAGTTGTTTTTATTGTGTATGATTATATTTTGAATTTTTATTTTAAATGTATTTTTTAATGGATATTAAAGTGCATAGTGATGGAAAAGGTAAAGAGGTAAAACGGTGCATGATATTACAATATTGTATACTGTAATAATCACTGTGTTGCACTCGGGCAGTTATGTGTTATTTTTATTGATTGATTTATTTAGTTTTACAGCTTAAAAAACATTTAATGAATACTTCTGCTTCAAGCTTGAGATTAGGTTTAAACTAAATAAATAAAAAAGTATTCCTACTGTATATGAATGTTTTCTCATATTTTCAGTTTTTATTTAGATGTGGTTTTTTTAATGGAAGTTGAAGCCAAAGCATCATCAAAGTTTTAGCATACATGTTCCTCCTTTAATAGTGTTCAAAAGCATCCCAGGATGCACCTCATGAAGCTGGATGAGAGAATGCATGTTTGGCAACGTATTTATTGACAATCCGTTTATTCTCCTCAGGCATCAGCAGTGCCTCTCCTACAGAGGAGATGAACGACGCTGGGAACCTGATGGACTTCTTGGACGAGCCGTTCCCAGACGTTGGCACTTACGAGGACTTTCACACCATCGACTGGCTGAGAGAGAAATCCAGAGACACGGACAGACACCGGAAGGTGAACCGGACCGCCTGACACTGATATGGTGCATTTTAATTATTAGCACACTGGTTTATTTTGTGTGTATTTGCAGATCACCAGTAAGAGTAAAGAGTCCATCTGGGAGTTCATTAAGAGTTTGCTGGACGCCTGGTCAGGATGGCTGGTGATGCTGCTGATTGGTCTGCTGTCAGGTGCTGAGACACGCCCACTCATGACATCACTGACCAGAGACACACCCACTCATCACATCACTAGGTGTGTTCGACTTCATGCGGTGCTGCGCAGACCTATCGGCGGCTGACTTGAAGCAGTGCATCCCGGATAGAAATGTTGTCCGACTTGAACCGGCGCCGACGTCACTGTGACGTATAGCATCAAAGTACCGCGAGAACGTTTCGAGAGCAGACTCAGCCGTCGCGGCTTCTCCAAAGCGCTGATGACGACACAGCTGTTTCACGATTGGCTGAATTCACCACATGATAACAATGACGTGTGTTTCGGGTTTATTCTGACACTTTCAGTTCCACTAATGCTCATAAATCTGTGTTTTTATAACAGTAAAAGCTCTTTTTCTGTAGTCGCAATGTTATATTGAGTCACGTTTATCAAAAAACACTGATAAAAGTGTATGTAGACCCACTTTATTGGTATTTAAATAGTATATGTTAAACTTTATTCTTGAACAGATGGCGCTGTATTAAGCAGTATATCAAAAGTGTTTCTATTGTTTCATGAAAACGTTTCTGAAACATCTGTGTATTTGACAAATATTGCATTTAATTCACTTCATCTGTGATAGAGTATGCAAACACCGCACGAGCGTCACTACCGGGAGCAGAAAGTGTCTGGCTTGACGTTTCCACCCCCGACTGCAAGCGGCAACTCTCGCCGATCGGTCTGCGCAGCGCCACATGAAGTCGAACACACCTAATGACACAGAGACATTACCTCACGGACAGAGACACGCCCACTCATCACATCACTGACCAGAGACACGCCCACTCATCACATCACTGACCAGAGACACGCCCACTCATCACATCACTGACCAGAGACACGTCCACTCATCACATCACTGACCAGAGACACGTCCACTCATCACATCACTGACCAGAGACACGTCCACTCATCACATCACTGACCAGAGACACGTCCACTCATCACATCACTGACCAGAGACACGTCCACTCATCACATCACTGACCAGAGACACGCCCACTCATCACATCACTGACAGAGACACGCCCACTCATTATCTCACGGACTGAGACACGCCCACTCATCACATCACTGACCAGAGACACGCCCACTCATCACCTCACGGATAGAGACACGCCCACTCAACACATCACTGACCAGAGACACGCCCACTCATTACCTCACGGACAGAGACACGCCCACTCGTGACACCACTGACCAGAGACCAAGGTTATTATAGTTTTGCGTTTTTAAATTCGTGTTATTTTAATATCGTTTTCAAATTTGCAATAAAATTTAGTTTCGTTTTTATTAGTTT